TGTTACAGTTCTTTAACTATGTGCAAGGAAGCACTTTACTTTATAAGGAAGTCTCCTGCTAAAAGGCATTCATCCTTCAGGCAGTGAGTCCATTGCAGCCCTCTGCCAACATTTATGGCACTGATATTTCGTGCTAATGCTTTCTCCTGCTGCTGCTACTTCTGTAATGATAACTGTCTAGTGTTTCAGATCTATCTCCCAGATGTAGGAACTTCTCAGCTCAAAGACCCTGGGCCCAACTGACATACTCCACTCCTAGCACTTCTTGATGTGGTAGTTAGGTCTCCCTCAAACCTGAGGTGAGGGTAGGGGGCTTCTTTTATGCTTAATGAGGTGGCAAAACTGAACAATCCCTTTATATGATTATTGTTATTAGGTGCCATCAAGTTGAGTACAACTCATAGAGACCCTATGAACAACAAATCTGAACCCTGTCCTACCCAGTGCCATCCTCATTATCTCTAACACACTTAAGCACATTGCCATAATAATTGTGTCAGTTTATCTCATTGTGGATTTTCTCTTTTGGTTACCCTCCAGCTTTCTAGGCATAATATCCCTTTTAAGAGGAATAGTCCCTTCTAGCAACATGCTCAATATATGTGAGACAAAGTGTCACCATCCTTGCCTCCATGGAGCACTCCAGTTACACTTTTTCCAAGATATATCTGATTGGGTTATTTTGTAGCCTTTGAAATATTCAGTGTTCTTTCCTAGCCCCACAACTCAAAAGCAGCAATTCTTCTGACATCCTTATGCACTGTCCAGTTCTCAGATGTATAGCAAATGATAGAAAAGATCATGGCCTGAATCAGGTATACCTCAGACTTCAAGCTGACATTGTTGCTCTTCAGTAATTTGGAGAGATCCATGATGGCTGGTTTGGCCTAATGCAATCTGTCTCCTGAACTCCCGGCTGTTAGTACCAAGGGTATTGATTGTGGCTCCAAGTAAGATGAAATAATTGGTAATTTCAATCTTTTATCCCTCTATTATGAGTCCACTGTCAGTCCAGTGGTGAGAATTTTTGTTTTCTTGACATTTAGACAGAATCTATGTTAAAGGCTGTAGTTTTTGACTCTGCAGCAAGTGTTTTAAGTCCTCCTCATTTTCAGCAAAGTTGTGTCATCTGCATAGGTCCTATTGTTGATAAATTTTCCGTCAATCTTGATGCCACACCCTTCTTCATAGAGTCTAGCTTCTCAAACAATGTTCTCAGTGTACAGATTGAATAGATATTCCATACAATCTTCCATATACCTTTTCTGATTTTCAACTATGCGCTCCACCCTTGCTCTGTTCAGGAAACAGCCTCTTAGCCTAGTTACAGGTTTTGCATGAGCACAATTAAGTGTCCTGTGATCCTCATTGTTTTCAGTGTTAGCCATACTTTGTTATGATACACACAGTTAAAAGGCCTTTGCATATTCAGTAAAATAAAAATAGACCTTTGTCTGTTTTTTGCATTGCCTTTAGATTATTTTTTTCTTGCATGTAATTGTAAGATTTTCTTTTATAATTTCCATATTCTGTTGGATCACCTTTCTTAGTGGGCTGTAAGCATCTTATTTGCACAGTCCCACATAATCATTCTGTGAGAATTAGAAGCCATGGCCAGAAAGACCAAATAAGAAGAGAAAGCATTACCCTGCATGTGTCCTTCAGATTATCAGTGTAATATATTAGAGATGTCTGGTCCTTGATCTATGACTAATAAAATCAGCAAGATAGTTATTACACTACAGAGATTTACTGTGCATCAGAGATGTCCATGATACTAATATGCTTATCTTAGCTTCAGTTACTTAGCAATAGACACAATATGTATTAGTTTATGATAGCTCTATTATTAACATTTAGGCAGATAGTGAAAATAAAAATGAAATAAGGAAAAATAAAATCATTATTACTATTAAAAATGTTTGGGAGTACTAGAGTAATGTCTATCTGTGTTTCATTGACTATGCAAAGACAGTTTTGACTGTGTGGATCACAACAAACTGACTGACTCTGCAAAGAATGGGAATCCCAGAACATTTGATTGTGCTTATGCAAGACCTATACTTGGACCAGGAGGCTTTCGTCAAAACAGAGCAAGGAGAAACTGCATGGTTTAAAATCGGGAAAAGTGTACACCAGGATGTATGCTATCTCCATATCTTTTCAATTTATATGCAGAATGGATTGCCCAGAAGGCTAGACTCAATGAGGAGAAATGTGGCATCTGGATTGGAGGAAGACTTATCAAAAACCTGCATTTTGCAGGTGAAATAACCCTGCTTACTAAAAATGATAGGACCTGAAACACTTAGTGCAGAAGGTAAAGGACTGCAGCCTTCAATATAGATTGAAACTCAATATCAAGAAAACAAAGATTCTCACCATTGATTGGCAACAACATGATGGATAGTGAAGAAATTGAGATTGTTAGCAACTTTAGTGTGTTTGGCTCCATGATCAACACTCTTGGTACCAGCAGCCAGAAAATTAGAAGATTAATTACTTTGGGAAAGTCAGCTGTCAGAGACCTCTCCAAAGTACTAAAGAGCAATGATGTCTGTCTGGAGACAAAGGTGTGCCTGATCCAGGCCATTGTCTTTACAATTACGTGATATGCATCAGAAAGCTGGACAATCACTAGGGATGATAGAAGTAAAATTAATGCCTTTGAGCTGTTGTGCTGGAGAAGAGTATTGAATATATCATGGATTGCTAGGAAAACAAATAGATTCATCTTAGAGAGGGTGAGACGAGGCTGCTCCTTGGAAGCAAAGATTCTGAAGCTTCATCTGACACACTTTGGACATATTGCAAGGATGAACCACTCCTTGTTGAAGGATATCATGCTTGGGAGGATGGAGAGATAGCACAAGAGATGAAGACTCTTGATGAGATGGATTGGTTCAATGACTGGGGTTATGGGGGTTGGGGTGTCAGAGACAATAAGATTGGCACAGGGTAGAGCAGGGTTTAGGGCTGTTGTACATTATGATTCGCAGATGACTCAAAGGCATATAGCAACAACATTTTTATTGATTTGCATGGAATCATTCATAGACATTGTTTTTCATACATGCATATTGTGTTTTATACAATTGTTTATTTACATTGTTTTTCATATACATTATGTTTTATAGACTCAGTTATATACATTGTATTTTATATAATTACTGTTGGTTTATGCCTATTATCACCTTGTCTTTTCAAGACCCCATTGAATCTTTCCTATTAATTCACTCTCTCGTATATCCACTAACCTCTGCTATCCTAATTATTTCCCTCCTTCTCCTTTTTCTACCCTCTTATCCCCTTTTCCCTTCTTCTTTTGAACATTTATACACATCTTTATCTGTTATTTTCCTGTCTTTGTAATAATGATTTTACGTAGTACTTGTCCTTATGAAACAATTTTTCTCCAGTTTTAGGGGTTTTCCCCCTAAACAAAATAGGTTTACAGAAAAAACAAGGCAAACTTGAGTCTTATTAGGGCTAATCTTGCATTTAAATTGGATATTAATCTTTGAGATTTTGACCTGGGTATAGTTTCACTATAAAAAGTAACTTAGAATTTACTTTATGAACCATACAACTTCAAGATTGTCGCTATGACAGCTTCTGTGCATGACAGTTGTACACCTTTCTCTGTGATTGAACCTTTAGAAGGTAAATTATTGAGCACTTACAGGCACACATTATTTCTGTTAGAAATTATGCAGCATGTAAAATGCCTTTCTCACTGATCGCAGGGCACTTAAAGTTTAAAACCTACATTTTTAATGTTAGACTGTTTAACCTTGAACAGTACTGTAACATGGTGCTTTGTAATTAGACGGATAGAACAATAACGTTTGCTGCCAAAAGAGCCATAGTTATTAACTCAACACTATTCTAAGAAGAAGAATTTGAAAAGCAGAACATGGTTTTTCATCTTGAAAATCATTTTTTATCTTAATCATTAGATATTTTGTGGAACCCTTTTTATTGCCCCCTGGAAATGTTAATCAGTTCTTCTGTAAAAATTAAAAGTTTCAGAATTTTTCATTAGTACATTGTATCTTTAAACTTAACTGTAAATATTTATAACTTTATTCTTTCCAATATATATAAAGGTAAAAGAAAATGGAAAGAATTGAAGACAGTAGCATTTTGACTGTGTCTTTTGATAGATATGATTTGGGGGGGGAAATGTTTTATTTCTTAGCTTAAAGCTGAGGAAGAAAAGAGTAAAGGCCCTTAGACTGTAGAATCTATTTTGAAATAGGTAAACATCTCCTTCAGTTCACTGCCGCTAGAAATAAGGAATTTAAATGCTAGTGGGTTTGTAGAATTTTTAAAAAAACAAACCCACAAACTGTCGGCAATTTAAATTTAGCCTTATCTCATCCCTAGTTTTTGAATCTGAAAAAGTCTGAGACACAGTAGACTGTTCTGTGAATAAAAGATACTTTATATGACAAGAACGTTAGAACAAAGATTTGTTTTCTTGTGCTTGTTGTTGAGGCCTTATTATTTCTCTAAGAGGTTATCTTTTTCTGTACAGGTAGGAAAACTGATGGTCACATAATCTAACTTTACAAACATATAAAAGTGTAAGAGAGAGATATGTAATAGCATTAGTGTTGTTAGGTGCTGTCAAAGTCGAGATAAATATGAATCACAGTGACCCTATGAACAATAGATCTAAACCATGTCCTATCCTCACTAACTTTGTCACAATCGAGCTCGTGGCTGGAGTCACCATGTCAGTCCATTTGGTTAAAGGTCTTCCTCTCCTTCACTGACCCTCCATTTTTTCAAGTATAATATCCCTTTCCAAGGAGTAGTCCCTTCTAACAACATGCCCAAAGTGTGTAATAACGTTATTTACCATTATTTCCCCTTTAAAAGTGCCTTCCTCATTAATGTATGTTTGATTATAATTTCTTTTTAAAGGAAGGAGTAGAAATTTGATTTATATAAGACTTTCTGACACTCAAAATCTGGCTTTGATTTTGTTTCAGGATTCATTTTGGAATGAAAGGCTCCATCATGATTAATCCACCCCGGATGAAAAGTAAACATGGAGTTTCTCTTGTTTTTGAAGTGCAGCTCACTAAAGATTTGATTTGTTTCTTTGACTCAACAGTAGAAGTCAGGTAAATAAAAGGGAATCAAAGTGTTTCATCAGCACAAAACCTATGCCTACAACTAGGTTTGGCTGTCACAGCCACAAATGTTTCCCAATAAATAAGTAGTAGGTGATTTATAATTGATAAAACCTCATTTCTTCTGAAGGAAATAAATTTTTAAAAGGAATTTATGATTCAACATTATATGTATGACAATAAGAATAAGAAGTACATTGCAAAGTGGCCTGCAGGATGGAAAAGGAAGGGGTAGGGAGGAGATTGTGTAGCAAAAAATGAATACTTTTTTTTAAAAGGAAGAAATTGAACTAGGGGAAGGGTAGAGAGGAAAACGTACAACAATAGATGAATGAAAATTCAACTTTTCTGTAAACCTTTATTAAAATCACTATTAAAAAAACACACAAAACAAACCACCCAAAGCCACCAAACCTCACTTCTTCCTTGTTTGCCTACAAGTGTTATTCTCTGATTAGCATGACTTGTTCATATTTATATGGTGGCTTATTTTCAATGATATTTTGTTTAATAATTGTAACTAGTCTTAGAAATAATGTGTTTTGACATTTCTTTCTATAGAAACTCAATGGAAAGCCAACAGAGAATAAGAATGATGGAAGAACTAGATGTGTGTTCACCTAAATTTAGGTTTTCAAGAGCAGAAAGTGAAGTTAAAAAGCAGAGCGGTCGCATGCTATGTGATGTGTTGCTGGATCAGAGAGTGTTGCCTGGCGTAGGAAACATCATCAAAAATGAAGCACTCTTTGACAGTGGTCTCCACCCAGCTGTTAAAGTACGTTACAAGTGTTTTTTAAATGGTTTATATAGTTTTAAATAGTTGGAACAATATGGAGCACTTACATCTGTATTGCACTAATGTCTTCTTCCTCCAAACAGTCTTCAAGTCTCTTCTAAATCTTTTCACTTGTCAACTTCTCAGCAAGGCCAACCTAGTCCCTCTATATAAAGTTGCAACATGCTTCCTCACACTCCCAATCTTTCTTAACCTTGTTTGCTTTCTATTTTTGTCAAAGCACTTACCACCTTCAAATATAATGATGGTTTTTATTTGTTAATTAAAATATTTGATCTGCTAGAACTCATGAGGATGTTCTATCTGTTTTGCTCACTGATAAATCTCATATATCTAGAGCACAATGTCTGAGAAATGGTAGGCATAGAATTATTTATCAAATTTATGTATGAACTTGTGCTGCCAACCCTAAGGCCCATTGTTTGAATCCACCATGTGCTCTGAGAGAGAAAGAAGGGCAATTTCCTCTTGGGCTGTCTATAGCCTCTGAAAACCTGTTAAAGGGTCAGTATGAGTGGATTCCAACTTGATGGTATATAACAACAACATGAATGAACTGAGATCACAATTTTCTTTTCCGTTCTGGCATATTTGATATAGACACATTCATGTGTCTCCACTTATTGCTACTGCTGACAGTAGAAAATGCCATTTCAGTGGAATGAAAAAGATAGAAGCCTGGTACAGATGATAGTTATACAAACTTTCAGGTCTTTCATTCATCGGGTTGCTATGAGTCACCTACAATTTGACGGCACTTAACAACAACAACAACAGCATAGAGAGAGCTCAGTTGACCTAGTGCACAGAAAGTGATGCTACCACGCCAAAGGTGGATGATTTTAATCTGCGTCCCTCAGGCCTAGTTTTAATTCTTTTTGGTCAAACATTCTTCTGGGCAGTATAACACTGGTTTGTCCATTTGCTGTACAGAGGTAACTCATGATTGCTGTGATGCTCAACACTGTGACACTGATGTGTCAAATGCGATATTGGTTACCCATGATGGACAGTGTTTGCTGGAGCTCCCCAATTCAAACAAGCTTGAAAGCAGGAGTGGCATCCACTTTTGAAATTGCTTGCCTCCGGAAATCCTATGAACTTCAAGAAACGATGAAAATTATACAAGTGTTCAGGTCTTTCGTTCATAAGGTCGTTGAGTCATCTATGACTCGATGGCATTTAACAACAACAGTAATATAAAGGAATGAGGAATAAAGAATAAGCAAAATTGAGAGTGCCTATACAAATAACTTGGAGTAGACAAAAACCCAACATAGACGGTGAGATGGTAATATCAGGACAAGGACTGTGGTTTTTGTTTACTTTACCACTTTGATCTAGATCTAAACAGCTTCTATTAAATAAATTGGGGTTTTGTTTGCTTTTTTCCTCCATCAATCCAAGAGTCCCCACTTTATTGTGTATAGACATTCCTTTGATTTTGCTGTCGTTTTCTGTTGCTATTGCGTAGGTATTGACTTGTTGTTTAGTGCCGTCGAGTCATAGACGACTCATAGCGACCCTATGAACGAATGGTCTGGACACTGTTTGTATGTAGAGTTTCTGGGGGCAAGCCATTTCGGAAGTGGATGCCACTCCTGCTTCCAGGCTTGTTTTAGTCGGGAAGCTCCAGCCAACACTGTCCACCATGGGTACCCATTACCATGATTGGCACATCACTGTCACAGTCTTCAGCATCACAGCAACCACGAGTTACCTCTGTACAGCAGTGCACAGACCAGTGCTATACCACCTAGAAGAATGTTTGACAGGAAAATAATTTGACCTGGCCTTCGGGCCCTTTGGGCTTAAGGCCACCTCCTGGCTCAAACCCTAGGCCCAGGCTGGCTAGCCTCACTCCCAGGGACAGAGCAAACCTGCACGTCAAACACATGCCCGGAAAAGCACTCAACTCCAAAAGCTTGCCACGATTCCTGCGCTCACACCACCATGCTTCTTCTGGCAAGGAGAAGTTCCCAAGACCCTGGGAAGAGCCAACTGGGAAGAACATGGCCGCCTCATGTCCCAACTGCCTTTGTGCTTAAGGCCTTCTGGCTCAAACCCTAGGCCAAGCCTAGCTTGCCTTGCTCCCGGGGACAGAGCAAATCTGCATGTCAAACACATGCTTGGAAAAGCACTCGACTCCAAAAGCTTGCCATGGCACAGCGAAATATTGTTCTGCCCTTACGATTAGCAATGGGCATTTTTTTGGCTAGTTTTCCTAAATCTAAATAAGCAGAAGTTATCTTTTAAAAGAAACTAATTAATACTAGTTTCAGGTTAGGTTTTTAGTTATCTCTCAAAAAAATTCTTTGCTGTGGAGTCAACTCACTATCTGGGTTTCAGATGCTATCATTTCAAGGGCGGGGTGGGGGTGGGGGGGTGTTTTTCTGGTTTTTTTCCTTTAGAATCACCAGTGGAGTCAAACCACCAGAGACAGTAAGTACCTTTGGTTATAACTCCTTCTGCACTAGGCCATCGGAGCGCCCTCTTACTTATCTAGCCCTGCTATAACAAAACTGCCAGGGAATGGCTTTAACCAATTTCCTCTGTCATCATTTAGGAGGCTAGAAGTCCACGAACAAGATGTCAGCTTTAGAGGAAACTTTCCTCCCTCTGTGGCTCCTGGTTCTAGGAGGTTTCTAGCATAGAAACTTATATCAGAAAGATGCAAAAAGATCTCTCTTGTTTCTTGGTAGTACTGAAGCTCCTTCTCTATCCTCTTGTCTTTGGTAAGACAAAGGAAGATGCAGAGAACTCCCTTACACTAGACCTGGGCTGTGACATAATTAAGACTCTTTGGTCCCACCTTACTTCCATCACAATTGTTTGGCTAATCACACTTCTGAGCCATAATGCAGAATGATTTAATCTTTATTCCCTCTTTTCCTGTCTCAGCATCACAGAGTTGAGTATTTTCAACACATTGGATAAGCACATAATAATAGCCAAATGGACACAATTCAATCCATGACAGTTCTTATTTTACCTTGAAACAATAAAATCTGATTTCTGAAAGATGGAGAAAATGAAACAAGGTTTAACTTTCTAGAATCACTTATCATTTTTTGAGAAGTTCTTTAAAAATACAAAATACTGTTCTTGAGTAAGATGAACTGAGGTTTGTTTTTTTAATCTTTCTATACATTCACCCACATTTTAATCTACTAAGATTTTATATGTATATATAAAATTTCTAAGGATATAAAGATAAATGACATTTGTAAAGCTTAGCTAAAAGCATACATATAATTATTGAAAAAGTAATATTTCAGTTATATGTCATATAAGATATAGTAAGGAATAGAGCCTATGGTGATGAAGGAAGAA